AAATGCACCATTTTGAAGAACAAAAACATCCCGGGTTCTCACTACCCCCCCCCCCCCCCGCGAAAATAAACCCTAGTTTTACCGCTGGCTTTCCTAAGATCTAATTTCTCATAAAATCCCGAATATATATCCTCACAATTTAACAGACTGAAGTGCCGACTGCACATTGAATCAATCACGGCCGGGGTACGTCACTTTTCTATCCACCAATCAGAGTTAGTCACCCTACTAGTCGATGATCAAAAGAGAGTGGTCTGTGATTGACAGGTTATGAGTGTCAATCACAAAACACGTGTTTTAGATGTGTCACCGACATCCATACAGTGTCCACCAATAAGATGCGGCTCATTCAGTGTCGGTGATACCTGTTTTTATAGTGACTATATAGCCTGGACCACATCAACTCATAACATCCGTCTCATTAATATGAAGCGAGTCAGTGGTGTGTGATTGACAGTGCGCCGGGGGCCAATCACAAACCGGGCCATTTTCCCAAGTCACTGCTCAGGAAATCGATGGTAATATTTAAGGCACGAGCGCCCGCTTTTCCCCTCACAGGCAACCGTAGCTCCTCTTCAGCCTCTGACGACAAGCCGAGAGAGACCTAACTGTGAGAACAACAAGAACGAGATTTGCTAGGTGAGTTTTACAAACAATTGTATTACTTTTATAGTTCTCGCTGGGATTCATTTCTACAAATCAGTTGATGCAGTTGATGTTTGTACATATTGTTTATGCGGGACTTCTGCTGTACTGACCCCCTAAAAAAAAAATTAAGCGCAAGCTCTCGCATGAATTCAGTCATGTTTACATGTAGGGTTCCACTCAGCATGCCACTGAGATTCTGTTGATTTTTTTTTTTTTTTTTTACGAACAACGATAGTGGTATTTTGATTAACATTTGGAATGTTTTGAGTGGTTGTACAAATGTTCACAAATCCTTAAGATTTTAATACACATTCAGTTGACAGACAGATGGTGGCTGACGCTAATAGTCAAACCAGTACCCTGAGTTCTCATACCAAAATATTCATTTTTTTAAAGATTGTAACTTGATTGTGGTAGTCCACCTGTAATATTACCGCCACTACTTCCTTGGTATGAGATCGACTCCCTTAACAATGTAGAAAATGTAAGCTCATTGTGATTCATACAACTACAAAAATTCAAGCAATTTTAGAGGAATATAGGATCATTTCCCTTTAGTGTTATTTTGTTAGATGCAACCAAATTCCATAGAATCTGAAGTAGGGTGCATAACAACTAACCTGTTGAAGTTTTAGCCCAGTGGGTGCACGATGAGAAAAATGTATGCACAATGTATTGGTCTGAAATTCAGTCTTGGAAAAGGATTCCGTTGCAAACACACGTATTAAAAACAATGTGCACGCGGGGACATTATTTTCAAAACCCATTCCATGTTAAGGTTTTTATACAATTTTCGGCAGGGTATTTGATTTAAGTCCTATCTTCCTTTTTGATCACTGAGTTTCTGTCATAGACCTTTATCATGCTGCCACTATTTAACTCATGTTCCCTGTTTCCACTAAAAGTACTGAATTATAATAATTGTGTGCAAAAAAAACCAGACTATTTTTCCTCCAGCCTCGCTTTGCTTACGTTTATTTAAAAGCGAAAAACTCAAGATGGCCGCAATATGATAATTGTTTTTTTTAAACGGGTAGTTACTTTCCGGGCATTTGCAAATAAACTTGCACTGCTTAAGCTTGTTGTTGTTGTTGTTGTTGTTTTTTTAAAGATACAAAAAAGAATAGAATACTATTTGTGAGAAATTATTTTTGTAAACTTTTGCGTGAGTCCATTCAGGCCGTTGTATAGTTCACTGGAAATAATCAATCCAAATCACAGTTCGCCCTAGCCTTTCGCCAAATCCATCGTGGCTTAACTTGCCGGCATCAGACAAAGCGGCGAAAAGCGCGAAGAGACTGGAGCGGGAGACCACACACGCAAGTGGCGAAGCCACGAGGGCCTTTTCCAATTTGTCAAGAATTTGTTTATGTTTTTCTTTATTATCTCGATTTGTGCTATCCCAAACGGGTAGCAAAATTCCAACCAATCATCATCCTTTTAGTGGCTACTACCCGGACGCGTCGACGCCCCCGGATGCTTGCACAAAATTTAAAAACAAACAATGCGAGTCTAGTTTTCCTCAACCTCGTCCCCAGTGCTTACTTTATTTCCAACCGTGTTTCCAATAGTAAACCCTGGATAGTAAACTTTCTTCCTGTATCCTGATTCGATATCGCAATTGGCTGGTAATGGATTTTTATCGTGTACTTGGTGTTGTTATTCACAACGTGCAGTACGTGTTTTCACGATCATTCTCCCAACCTTCTCAAAAACATTCCTTTCCTTTTCCAATTTGTTCATATTAAGAAATGTGATACTGCATGTTGTCTTGATAAGATCGTAACAATTTAATTAAACAAATCGCGTTTTCGTAACTCACGCTGTGCTCGCGCTGCGACGAATTGACTTTGTTTTTACCCCCGACACCGCATACAAAAACGAACGATAATGTAACGCACATGCAGGCACCAGACTATTCCAATGTTCAAAAATCTTGCACATGCAAATGATCCAATACCAGGGTGGGAGAGCAGGTAGTGATGGGCGCGTACTGCTCGACACCCTGGGCTGGAGGTTGAGTTTTCCTCAAAATCATATTTTTATTTTACCTATAAAAGTATTTCAAGAAATTATTTGAGTGTATGAACTTATTTTTCATCTGAACTTAGTTATTTGCTCTTACGTTTTCCTTACTCACCCTTCTTTCACAAATGGAAGCAACTAGGCAATATCCGCGTTGTGATTAGTTAACCTTTCGGCATCTTCTTATTTGCATAAAAAAAACTATGAATAATTCAACAAAATAAAGTTGGAAAAGGCCTCGTGGCTTCGCCACTCGTGTGTGCTGACTTAATCTTTGCTCCAGTCGCTTCGTGCTTTCGCAGCTCCGCCGCTCTAAGCCACGATGACCTTGGCGAAAGGCTAAGTTCGCCCCGACAGAGGGAGTTTTACTTGTGAAATTCAGCTATGCCTCCTCCTCCGGAGTTATATCCTAGCGGATTTTTAGTAAATTATTGTTCTTGCTATTTTTACAGCCAGCAATCTGCTTGAGTGTTGAGGATTCCTTTCGTGATAGGTTTGAAGAACATTACTTGAAGGTTAGTGTCTGTTACTTGGCATTTACCGCAATAAAGCATCACAATAGAGCTGTGATGAGGTGGGAGACTTCATCGTTTTGTTATGTTCATATAAAGGCCTTTTTAGTAAAAAGATAACATAAAAGTCGATCGTAAATTCTTAAAACAAAAAAACAACATTACATGACTGGTTGCTTTATGGGTCTTGAAAACTCACTTGATAAAACTTCATTGACAAAACATGGCTATTAAGGTTTGACTGCATTTCTTTCAAGTTTTCTGCTAATTTACGAATAGTTTAAAATGTATTATAGTTCCTGGTGATTCAAATTTGCGCACTGTCATTCTTTCACATGTAATAAAACATTGTTTTGGGATAAGCTCTACCCTGTATATTCCGACCCGTCAAATCAGCATCACTGTACATTCTTCCTCGTTTTTTTTTCTCTGTTGATTCAAACCCTCCCTTTTCAAACACAAACATATATTGCGATGAACATGTAAACATGTTTTCAGCAATCACTCTAAACAATATGGGATGAAAAGTTGGTCACGGAAGAACTGATGCAGGAAATCCGGACCACTCAAACATGGCTGTCTTATTGGTCAATATCTTATTGGTGTTATGAATGAGTCGGATCGCAATATACCTCTTGCACTTTTGAACTTTGTCAGTTTGCTAGTTCACAGTTAGTCTTGGTTCCAAGACCTTCGTGGAATATTTTTTTTTTCTCCGCGCAAAAATTATATTGCACTATAGGCCCGCAATACAAATCTGTTATCGATTCTGCAATGTATTCGATTCTTATTCACTGTGTTTATTCAACATATTTATTCAACGAGTATCGATTCTAGCGCGATCGATCCTGTACTTCCACTTCTGTAATGAATTGAAGTGCGCCCTCTGTTGATTGAAAATAATTGTTTTCCAAAAGTGTTCATTAGTAGTATGATTACACATGTACACAAACGCAGAGAGAACGTCTGGGTACAAAGACTTGCTCACAGTGCGCAATTCTGGCTTTATTATTAGGCTACTTTTATAAGCAATGTATAATATTGATGATTGGATGATGATGATGCACAACGTATTATTCAAGTTCAAATTGCTTTATCTATCTAGAATGTAGAAATCATGAATAGATATGATGTTTGTAGAAATTAATTGGCCCTTCTGCTCCGCTGTCCGCTTTAAACGTTTCAAGCACAAGCTCTTGGGTGCATATTTGCATGTGGGGCACAATATCTGGGATGAATTTATTTTTGTATGTGTAAGTTTTCACCCAGCATGCCCCCTAGATTCGAAACAACAATGGCTTGATATTTTGATATTCATGTTTTCTTGTTGCAGTTGGAACAGATATTCACAAATCCTACAGATTTTCTAAAACTCGATCTGTTTTGAAACAGATGGCAGTTGATGCAAATAGCAAAACTGATCAGCGCTGATTTCTGATTTTAACTTTTGGATGAGACGTTAAACAAAATAAACCACCTGCATTTAGGAAAATGAATTTCGTTCGGTGAGATCGTTAAATAAATGTTTACGTATTTTATTGTTATTTTTCTTTACAGATGAAGATCTGTGTGGCCATTTTATCAATCGTCCTACTTCTAGGTAACTCTGTCAAGCTCCGAGCTTCCGTTACTGGGCCGGTTCCCTCGGACGGTGGTGGTCCTGCGTCTCAGGTGTGTCAGCAGTGCTGCCAGGGACCTACTGCAATACCCGGCATACCAGGTCTGCCTGGGCCAGTAGGACCGATGGGGCCATACGGTCAGCCGGGGTCAAAGGGCGAGCCAGGTAATGAGGGTGAGATTGGACTGATTGGCCCAATGGGTGAGCGGGGAACACCTGGGAACCCTGGGGACGACGGAATAGGGTTGCCCGGCAAGGTAGGTCCTAGGGGTACTCCAGGTTTAGTTGGAGCAACCGGTCAGACTGGCGTCAAAGGTCAAAAGGGTGAGCCGGGGGAGACACCAGACGACTCCAATCAGCCGGTAGCATTCACCGTGACGAGGTCGAGCCTTTCTGATGTGTCTACGGACATTAACACCCGTTTGCCCTTCCAGCAGGCCGCGACGCTTCTTCCGGGTACCAGCTTTGATCTCGAGACTGGTACATTCACATGTAGTGTGTCGGGCACCTACGTGTTTATATTTTCTGTGTGCAAACCTTCTGCCGGAAGCGAACTGTTCGTCAATCTCCGGAAGAACGACGACGTGGTTGTCACTGGCTATAATACTGGTCCAAATCGCTATGGGTCGCTGTCTGGGAACGCGGTGCTGGTTCTGCAGCGAAGAGACACGGTTTATCTTACCATGCGCGGTAGAGCAGGTGGTGCTGCCAGTCACGACACCTCGTTCAGTGGCTTCCTCCTTTACCCCGAATAAATAAAATATCACCACACATGAATATATACGAGCATCGTGTTGCTGAATACTTAAAAATTGCATTCCATTTTGCGGAAACAATAACCACTGAATTAAAAGAAATAGTTGTTGAATTTCTCAAAAATAAACTGTCATTATTTGTTTTGGGTTACCCACACGCACATCTTGTATACAATAGATATATGATTGATAGACATTAAAAATAATACTTACACTTGTTGACAACGGTTTTGTATACACTGTGGAATAAAAAAAATTCTGATGAAAATATCTTGAATATTTCATTTATACTATCTTAGTACAGTTATGAAAATGCCTAATAATAATAAAGAATAATAAATGCCTAATAATCAAACGGACATTGATACTGGCGGTTAATACAGATAATTTCAATCGATTTTTCGTCTTTTTTTCCATGAAGATATTTCTTTGCAAATTTGCTTCTTAACTGTACACAACATTAACTTGGAACTTAGAACAAACCTCAAACCTGATCCCAGGCGTGTGATATTACTCTGACGTCATGATGTCGGCATTGGCTATCAATTACAAGCACGTTTGGTTCAAAATACATGTATTACTATTCCTATCATTTTATAACTCGTGAACAAAATGAACAGCACTTTGTGATCATATTTGATTCACATTTTGATTACCAAAATGCAAAGTCGGGGGAACTGGAAGGTAAAAGTCATCTGAATATAAAATGCACAGAGAAGCCTACAAAAACCCGACTATTTTGTACGTAACGGATCAATAGAGAAGGATGAATCCTGGTACGAACATGAACCTTAGTCAACTGTGTAAAAGATGTGGACCTTTTTGTGACGTCATCATGATGTCATTCACTCACTCACTCACTCGTCCGCATAGACAGCATAGGTCCGTCGCGCCGGTCTCCTGTGTCCGCGTCCTACAGCCTCATTCCACATGCAGTCAGTTGCTCCAACCAAGATGATCTTGGACGGCCGGTGGGTCGTCTCCAGCCTGGAGGTGGTCGTTGACCTATCCTGGAATTGATGGTGTTTACAAGCTTTTGTGACGTCATCACGATGTCCTTGCACATCAAATGATATGTTTAAAATTTGACAAAATAGTTTGAACTATATCGTTTGAACTGCACTGACATGCTAAATGCACCTTGTTCATTTCACTGTGGATGTACATGATGTCTTGGGAAACATTTCTAATTCCCGAACACATTCAATCGCTTGGTATTTACTTCCGGTGTTACCGGAAGTGCATTTAGAATTGAATGTCATTTTAAAACGGTAGGGTTTTACTACAAACAAATAGTGAAAATGTTTAGTGAGGAATGCCATTACACTTTTTTGTAATACTGGTCAAATGTTTATAAAAAGTCCCTAGATGTTTTTGGACAACCTGACTTTGCGAGGATTCAAATTACGACCGTAAGTTATTGTAAAAAGAATTTGAAATTATCTAGTTTCAGTTGTTTTAATGCCAATCTATTATTTTATCAGTATCCATGACTACGTTCGTAGTACGATAACGATTTGCGTTTGGGCTTCGGCTGCCAAATGTGTGACGTCATTTAACCAGAAGTCATATGTTATTAATACAAACACTTTTGAAAATAAAAGTTCTTTGTATTGTGTAATTAAACACTAACAGGTTAATGCAAACAAAGTAGAAAAGACAATCATGAACAAGTTATTAAATTAAATTATTTTTGTTCCTCTTTACCTTGATAGTATTTGGGTTGTAATCGTGCACACACAGTTTTATTTCTCGGCTGTATGTCCCCTATAAAATACGCTGTTGAAATAGCTACATCATACGCCGCCGGGGTCACCCGTTGGCGTATCCATCGGAGAATACAAATAACGGAATCCGAGACGTTCTGAGTGATATTAAAAGTCAGCTTTAAATCATTGTGCCATTTCCGGGCTTATTTATTCTTAATGTCTGAGAAAAATTTAAAACGAGAAAACGTTCACTAAAATCGCCCGTACAAATGCTAAGGTAAATTGGCGGATGAGACAATGTGTTGAACGGCCACTATTGGAGATGACGCCGCGTGGCGTTACACTTCTGCGGCGTATGCCCAGCACAGATAATGTAGATTTAATCAATCACATGTTTGTATCAATTTTAATTTTACATAGCATTTCTCAAATTATCCAAAAAGATTTCCTGGCCTGTTGACTTACATTTGGGAATTAAAATAATAATTATTCAAAATATTGTATTGCCATTTATAGCAATTTGATGAAACGTTGAGACTTTTACAGTTTACAGGTGCTTCAAAAAAAAAGAAATACACTGTTTTCTATTTAAATGATTGCATTATTGTTAACATGATAATCTGTTAGCATTTTTGTATAAGTTATACTTGACTGCAAAAAAGTACAATTGAAAAAAAATGATATGTACAAAGCCTCATTCTGATGATTACGAAACACGTTTACCACCGTTTTTTAATATTTTTGCTCGATTTTTGTATAGAAACAAAAACGTTTTATATGCTTTACGTTGAGAAAATAGACAACCTTCCTCATTTTCCGAAACAGAAAAGTGCCAAAAATAGGGGGGGGGGGGGGGTTGATATTTTCCGAAGAGTCCAAAGCCCCAAAAAGGATGGCATGTGTTTCTTGATTAAAAGACTCAATAAGCCTCTGTTCTAATGATTTCAAACCTTGTTTACATGTGCACTTTCATATGAAGCCAGTGAGGCCAACGGTCTACTGAGCACCATAGGAAAGCACACACATAAACAAAGTGTGACGTTATTAGCACAGAGGCTTATTCAAGAAACTCACTTTGAAAATATCAAGTATACAAAGTAAACATTCCAATCGAGTGAGGAGGGTTTTTGGACTGGTTTGAATATTGTTCATTTCATCCAATAAGCTGCCATCAGATGGGATAATTTTCTATTATTTTAACTTAAATGTCTTTGTTGACTTCTACTGTGATACCAAATTGTGAATGAATAATTTACCACAACCTCTCTCATGGGTGTGCATCATATTTTATTGTATAATAAAGTTAAAATTAACACATTCAACATTTTAACACGAAATATCCTCTTCGGTTTTTAGAATTTGGAAACCTTCTGTGAGTAGATGAGCGAAAAGTAGCACATATTTGGGGTCGCCTGATTGAGAATGTATTATTGAATTATGTAATGAGTGCACTATCTTATTATGAATGCGCAGGATGAGGAGTTATAATTCACATGTGACCCACAACCTGACTGAATAAATTAAAATAAGGAAATTTCTGGTCACATTTTGCTGAAATACTTTGTTCAAGTAGAAATGTTTGATTGTGAAATGAGGTTTTGTTATATTATACATAATTGGTTAATAGTTGTGAACAAGTTTTGTGTAGACAAAGTTATTGCCTGGCGGTCTTGTGAGAAATTACAATTATTGAAACTTGAACAAAGTCAGTTTATATCAGGCCCAAAGCATAAAATTACAAACAAAATCCATCTCCATCAAATGCTGGAGTTTTTCAATTGAGGATTCATGCGGTATTTCTACAATTTGAACTCCAAAGTAGTTACAAGCTTACAGTAACGACTCAAAACTATAAGAAAAGAATAATTTGATATAAAACTTCTCTATACCCTTTTACACTAGCTTTTGAACATGTGGAAACTATCTACGTCTTCGGCTGGACTTCATTTATGCTTCAAACATGTTTGATCGTTCAACTGAAAACAGTTATTGATATCGTGTGTCGTAGCAACGTATCAAATCCCAATCTTACTTTTGTGGGAAAAAAAATTCTCACAAGTTCTCAAATCTGCAATGATTGTTAAAATTATAATCACTTTGATATTAAAAGTCCTGTATGTATTAAAAGTCTGTCGTTCGCCTTGTAATGCTTTATGGTTTGATATTTCGACTTCTGGCAGGTCATGATGATTACATACATGTATATAAATTGAAGAGTTTAATTTGTATAAATGATTGTTCATGATTTATTACAATGTGGGTTGTTAAATGTGACACTATCACAGAGAGAAGATTAACATTTTCCCCATCGCTTGTCAGTAACACAGTAGTAGTTAATAATTGCTTTAAGAAAAGGATTGCTTACTTTTAAGTACAGCTGATTATATCGCTCTCTTTGACAGCTTAAATATTTGACAACACGAAGTAATCAATCTGATAAATGTCGAATATAACTACTCAGAAAATGTACTAAAACAATAAGAGAAAATATCTCGAGCTTTTGATCACTGCAAAAACGCTTTTTAAAACTCCTTCGGCTGTACTTTATTTAGGGTGCCAAACACTTTTGAAATACACTCTATGTTTGGAAGACGTCAATTGAATTCACGGGGAGTAAAAGCTCAAGACATTTTAGGGCGTTTACTTAATTTAGAATCATTTGTGACTCATAAACTCATTTCTTACAAGTGCGTATATTGAATGTGTAAACTGAATAAAATAACCATTGCCTATCATTAAAACTATTGCCGATATTGTCCATCATGTACTTAGGATCAAGCTGTAGCATGTTTTGATTTCTTGAAAGCCAGGATGATCAATATTGTGATGAGCCTAAATGTCGGGTGAAGATTTGTAGAGGATGGGTGGGTTTGAGGGTTAGTTGAATTAAGGCTGATGGGGTTGAAGATAAGGGATTGGGAATTTACGGTTGAGAAGTTCGAGGATGAGGGTTTAGGGTAAGTGGGGGTCGGGAACGGGTTGGGGACAGGTTGGTGTCGAGGGAGGGGGCATGCTCAAGCCCCACCCCAACAAACCATTTTATTTACTTTCAGTAAGCAAACAAAGAATAAGATAAAACCACCATATCAAACACGATGATGTCTACTCATTTAGCTACATTGATTCTTGAAATCCACCGATCCTTTAAAAAGTCCGCGACCCCGCGCCTTTTTTGGAATAGCCAACTTGTCGGACATTGGGCCCTATTAATTTTAATCTTCCCCTCCCCCTCACTCCCGCCCCCCCCCCCCAAAAAAAAAGGTTATAGAATAGATCCACCGGTGAAAGGCG